TCATTCTCACCTCTGAGCCTTTGCATATTCTGTCGTCCCATCTTCGAGCACCTTTTCTCCACCTACCCCTGGTTTATTCTTATCCACCCCACACAATTCGGCTTCAGTGGCACCCAAGACAGAGTGAGACCTTTCCTTCTGTTTCTTAACGCATCCTGTGCTTCTCCTGTCCCAGCACAATGATGCTCTACAGGAATCTATTAACTCATTTCTTTCCTCAACTGGAATGGGAGGCCATGATGGCAGGGGCTGTGCCATATTCACTGTGATGTCCCAAGTGCCTAAGAAAGTACTCAGGACAGAGACTGTCACAAAGAACCATTCCCTCCTCTTCCTGGGCAGAGTTGGACTACACCTCCCAGAGGCCTATGCAGGTAAGTATGGCCACATAACTGAGCTCTGGCTAATGCAATGTGTTGGGCAACTGACAGGGCCCCTTGCATGGCTTGTCTACCTCCCTTGCACAGTCTTCCTGACTGTTTCCCCTTCTGCTTTAATAGAAGGGATTCTGAGGCCCTCAGGTGGCATAGCCATGAGAAGATAGAGCCTGGATCCCTGCATCACTGTATAGAGGAGAGCTGTCTACCCACATGGGACACCACCCTGTGCTGTTACACAGCAAGAAACCAACTTCCCTGTGTTAAACTACTTCAGTATACATTCAGATATCTTACAGAGGTGAGCATAAACCTGATAAGGTGTCATCACTTGAGCCAGTGATTAAGTGCTCACAATGTGCTACTTATTGTGCTAAAATTCCTATGTCATTCTCTTCTCTAATCCTAATAACCCTTGAAATAATGGTAATGTTATTAAGAATACTAAAGGCAATAACAACATCAGTGATAGATCTCTTACTATGTGCTAGACCTTTTCCTACCCTCATCACTCATTTAATCTTCGCACCAATCTTGTGATGTCGGTATCATTTTATACACAATGTCCATAGAGGTTAAGTAGATTGTACAAGATCACACTGTGAGAATGTGGCTGAGGGTGCTTTGATTTTGAACTTGAATCTGTCTGATGTCAGAGCCCATGTCCTTGCTCCTGTGTCATAGCAAGTACTCAACAAATATTTGTTGAATCATGCAATGGACCTTTCGTATCACTAACTATGAGGACTTCTTACACCCAGACCCACTCATCCCAGCTCAGCTTGGAGCCATGCAGCCCCATTTAAGATGGCCACCCTCAACCCGCAGCCAAGTATCTCTCCTTACCCCGCCAGGCTGCCTCTCACCTGT